AGTGTCTCCAACGAGAAAAAAAGAAGGGAAGAAAAGGAAGCAGACAGAAGGGATCCATGTCACTGATGGAGGAGGCGCTGTCTCACTGGAGCCAGGCATCGGGATGCTGCTCCCCTCTGGCCAGCTAACATCGTGTCCTTCCCAAGTGCCAGCTTTCCCCCGCAAAACCAGGGCTCAGCTGGCTCTTCTGCTCCTGCCAGGATCAGTGTGCTCCTGACAGGGATTCAGATGATCTCCAATCCCAGCCCAGTGAGGCTGAGGAAAACATTAGCCTGGACAGTGGAGGGATGATGTCAGGAGAAGCAAAACTCTGCTGTGGCTATGGAGATTATGAAGGTCCCTGACTTTAGAGTGGGAATTTGTGGGCAGAGCCTGGCCTGTGCCTCAAGTGTTGCTCCAGAAACACAGTCAAGAAATGGTGATAAACCCAGAGAGGGTTTAAAATCTGACCTCAGATACTGCCATTACACTGGGAATGAATTTGCTGAAGGAGCAAAAAAAGCCACCGAAAGCCCTAAAAAAATTAAAGCAACAAATATGAGATGGTGAACAAGTTTCTCTTGGCTTTTCCTATTCCTGGAATTGTCTTAATCTCTGGGTGATCCTGTGGGTTTGTTAAAAGATTCAGAAGTCTCAGAAATAACATGTTCTGAGAGTACAGGAAACTCCTGACTCTTAACTATACCTCAATGTGTTCTCCAGCCACACAGGGGCCACCTAAAACAAAGTAAGGACCTTTTCCTTTTGAATGACCCCCTGTAAGACCCCAACATGCTGCAGTGAATGGTCAGATATGTTTAAGATACAGACCTGGATCTAAAAGGGCAGCAGAAATTTGAGTGGACAACATCCTACGAACATGAAGACATTTTAAAAGGCAGAAGAGACGGGCTTAGACAGGAAAGGAGAATGCACTGTGGCCCAACTTCTTTCCTCTTTGGAAAGCACCCAGGGCATCTCCCATCATTATAATGGCAGAGAAGCAGTCATATGTGGCCCTCACTTACTGCTTAATTTCCTCCCACCTCATCCCATGCTGTAGCATCTACATTCCTTGAAGGAATGTCAGATGCTGATCAAGATGTCACTGGGCTTGATACTGAGTTTACCATTACACTGAGCTATTTGTCACCAGCCTTATCCCAGCCATGGTGAAGGGTGATACTCACTAGCACAGGTCTGAAATTCATAAATGGATGCAGACTTTGCTCTCTCTGCTAGTGGGAAGCATGACCTGGCTAAGGACATCTTGGTGCCTGGCCTTGTTCTAGTTGAGGCTGATAGGTGTTCTCAGATAAATGGAAGATGATTCCTCTGTAGGATGAAAATGACTTGAAAACATTTACAACGGATTTATGAAATCCCACACCCCTGGGTTATAAACCACTCTTGTGAGAAATGATGAGACAGGAGCTCCAGGGCCAGAAATCACACTCTGTATGACTGCTAACTGGTTACTCACTCTTCAGATTTAACTTCACTTTCGGTCTTTATACCCTTGCTAACTCTTGGCACAGGCATTAACACCAGTCTGGAGGCAGTTACAAGCCACTGAGTCAGCCCAGCTGAATCTGTGACAGCTGCTGCTAACCCACACAGCCTTGGGGAGCGATGGGGACCTCGTTGCCGCATGTTCTGGTTCCAACCCACTTGCTGATGATCCATGACTGCTGCAGCCACCCAGAGCATCCTGACAGATGGAAGGTGACTCATCTGGCAGCAGCTGGCCAGCCTGGGAAGCTGGCTGTCTCCAACAGGCAATGCTTAGAGCAAGATTTCTATCTTACAAAGGCTCTCCCAGCACAAAACCAGCACTAATCAGTGCTTGGGTCACCCTGAGGGCTCTCACTGAGGTCTAGGAAGGAGTATGACATGAGAGATCATGCTTGATAGTGGTTTAAGCACATAGGACTATCCTTTTCATAGCCAAGTTGGTGTTCTCATATGAAGCATCACAAAAACCATCAACATGGGATGAAGCAACTGGGGACAAAAGTTCCCTGTTTCCCTCTCCTTCCTCGACAGTCTCAGGTCTGGAACAGAGGCAGAATGGCCTCTACACTAGGGAAACTGCATGGGAATCGCTTTGGGGACCCAGCAGCAGGGCAGAACAGGCACAAGGCTTTGTGTGCTCCAGGCTGGAACCCAAGCAAGAAATGTGGCCCTTTCCCACGCGAAGGCTGGGCACAACTTGCAGGAATCTGTCAGGAGGGGGGGCACTGAAGTGCGTGTGCGTGGGGGGGGACGGAGCCCGCAGTGGCCAGACGTAATCCCCTTCTCTCTGTTGTGAGAATGGAAATACCACGCTTCCCCTCTAGAATTTCAGCTGCCAGCACCGAGCCCGTCTGGTGCTTTCTGGCTGGGACACCCAATCCGCGGTAACTGGATAGCGAGCGGCAGCAAATGCTGGGAGCTCTGGGCCAGGCTGGCCCCCACCTCCTTGTCTAAACTGCAAAGAAATGTCCCTCCTGCTGCTGCTGAGGGCTGAAACCAGAGAACTGTCTGTTTGCAGCTCAGACAAATTGCCATCATTTTAAGTTGCCAATTGTTGTCTATCTCCTGAACTCACTCCTTCCCTGTAGTTAATGTTTACCCCTGCGGAGAGCAACCAGATGCCACCGATAACTGCACAGGAGGATGAGAGGGTTGAGGCACAAGAGGGTTTACCTGTAATGCTGTGGGACAGCTGAATTATGCAGAGCAAGCTGCTCTAATAGAAGGTGTCCCTGCCCATGGCAGGGGCTGGAACTGGATGAGCTTTAAGGTCCCTTCGAACCCAAACCAGTCTGGGATTCTATGATAAATAACACAGAGCATCCCATACTGAAACCTCACGAAGCTTTTACCCACCCTGCTCCATATAAGAGGACATTTCTATGAGTTCTCATTCATGCTGTTTGGAGTATGTCTTGCATCCTTCCACTAGGAACAGCAGAGGATTTAGGCAGGAAGGGAGCAGATAAGTAAATATAAAGCAGTCATAAAATAACCTGGGTTAGCCTTTCTATGCACAAAAGAAATGGAAGAATTTATATGCTGATGTCTTGGCCCTCACATGATTAAATACATTAGGAAAGTAGGAACCTCCTCTTCTTGGGGGTGCAAAGCTTTCTTTTCTTCGGGACTGCCAGATAATGCATCTTCTCTTTCCCGTACAAAGGGCTTATTGGATCAGGACTCACCTTCCCCTAGCCTGTGCCTGGGGCAGGGTAATTTGGGATAGGGATAAGCATAGATACAGCACTGGTTTGGCCATTTCAATGAGCCTCTGATTTAGTGAGCAGAACTAGTAAGAAGATGATGAAGCTACAGAAATGGAAATTGCATGATAGACCTGTGTATGCCTAATGCTTGTGCAGCTTATCACGTGGATCTCACCCTTACTCTGTGGAGCTAAATTCACCTGTGATAATCTGAATTAATCACATGCCCTGGACCATCTAACCTGCAGCCTGCCTTTGAATTCCATACTGTCTGCTCCTCTCCTCAACCCAGTGCTATTAGAAAGCCCTTGTCAGAAAGATGTCCCCCTATTTCCCACACAAATGATGCTGGTTGAGGCAACATTCAGCCTCATGCCAGCCACCCTTTTTACATTTTCCATCTCATGAGCATTCAAAGCTAAAAGTGGGGGGTTTATACCATTTCAGAGAAGCTGCAAAATTTCCCTCTTTCCATTGACACTCAATGTCTGTTTTCACACTTGACAGATTAGAAGTTATTGGACCTTAAAATCTATCTATCTCTCTAATGTCCCCATTTATTGGACTCCTCTCTCAGCAGTTGTAGGCTTTTCATTTCAGATGCCTACCTAATTTCTCCTTGTAGTTTCATATTATTTTGCCCTTCCTGTCTTAAACAGTGTTACCAGCCACACTGAAACAACTGCGATAGTGCACTTCACATGTCTCTGTATTTCACAAGTGACTGAGGACAAAAGTGAAATGTCTTTGGTACCTCTCCAGGACGCCAGGCACAACGTGAATGCAAGTCCTGGCTGTTAATTTTCAGGATACAGATTACAGCAAGTAAACCAAAGAGAAGGGTTAAGGCTCTATCTAATGAGGTGACAGAAAACTGTTATATCCTGGGATCTCCACTGACTTCAGTGCACAAGCTGAGAATGGAAGTCTGCTTCCACAGCACACACATAGCACAAGCTCTGCTCTCTCTAGACCAGCTGGTGACAGAGGCTTTAACCTCTCTACACTGCTGAGGTGTGCTTCTCTGTCACACCAGCTCCCAAAAGCCACAGAGATACCTGGCAGAAGGTGGATCAAACCTGGGACCGGGCACTTCAAGAGGTGGCTGCACTGAGGCTTGGAGCACAGAGGCCAGAGTCAGCTCATGGGTGCCCTATTCTGAGCTCAGGCAGGGGTTTTAAAATCAAGGATGTGCTTTATCTTTCCTCCTTTAAAGCTTACCTGCACCTCTTAGTGTGACCTTGTGGAAAGCATTAGCAGAACTGTTTGCATGGCAGTTAAGTTTCTCAAGGCTAAATCCCAGATCTACATCCCTGTGTTTTGAGTAAGCTCAGATCCATAGAGCTTTCATACTCCAACCAGACTTGGACAACCTGGCTTCAGCTAATCTCTAAATCAGTCACCCACAAATCATGGACTACTTCTAAAGAGAGCCTGAAGAAAGCACCTAAGAACAGCAAGGCTAAAACCCCACCATGGAAGGGCCCACACCTGCACTGGAATTTTTCTGGAACACCAATCAATGCTCTTGGTCCTGGGGTTTGTGATTCCAGTGTGCTAACTTGAATATGGGAGCTAACAGATACAAGTGCCCTGGCAGTGCAGTGCTGAGCTCAGGACAGACACTGCAACAAACAAACTCCTTGCTTTAACCAGGCTGCCTCCACGAGCTCATGACAGTAACTCCCTTGTTAATCATAATACACTGTGATAGCCTGAAGCCTGTCCTGCTCTCAGAGGATCTGAACCAGCCAAATACTGTCAGCCAAAGAAAGAGAATGGAAGCGGGTCACATACCTGTGGAGAGAGGCCATTGCTAACAGGATTCATGTGGTTGGCAGGAGCTGCAGCATTCATGAAGCTGTCTGAGTAGCTGGAGAAGCTGTGTCGGGCCCCATAGGCAGAGCCGGTATCGGCGGCAGCGGCGGCTGCAGCAAGTCCTCCCTGGTGCATGGTGGATGGTGGCAGGGGCTGGGGTCTGTGTACTGTGCTTCCCCCATCTGCAGAGAGAAGGGGGGAAGAAGCTGTAAATTCTTTTATAAAGGCCAAAGCCAACTGGAATCAGCAATACTCCTTCCACTGAATCCCAGCATGGAGATTTACCCAGAACAAGGGGTTGCCTATGATACTTCCTAGTGATGTGCTCATCATTTCAAAGCTGAGCAGAACAACTACAGTCACGAGACATACTGATACAACAGAAATGACCATGAGGTAGAGGAGAAAACTGTTGACTTAGGGAAAAACCTTCTCATCCCAACTCAAGGAAAACCACCTGTGTATTACAAGAGCCTCAATGGGATGCCATGAATCAGGGAAGGGATGATGGGATTATCTAGGGCTAGAGAAGAGGAGCAATGCAGGCAAATGGGTGCTCACCTTGGGAAATGGTGGTTGTTGGGTAGGTGGAGTCTGGCAGCTGGTATGGAGGGAGGGTCGGCATTCCTGTGGGAGGGAATCCCCCTGGCAGCAGGTGGTTGAAAGCTGCAAGTTGGTTCGCTCCCGCCTGCTTGCGCCATCTCGCTCTTCGGTTGCTAAACCACACCTGATGGGGAGAGGAAAGGCCAAGTGTAACTTGCTCTGAGCTGCTGTCCCACCTCACCTGCTCTGCTGATGGAAACACAGCCTGAGTAACAGCACTGGCCAAAACCAGCTTCAAGTTCCTGCCTTTCAAAGACGTTGTATGAACTCATCTCTGATCCTCAGCTTCCTTCCTCCCAGGTGAAGGCTGAGAACACTGGGGCTGTTCAGCCTGGAGAAGCTGCTTGGAGACCTCAGAGCAGCTTCCAGTGTCTGAAGGGGGCTGCAAGGATGCTGGAGAGGGGCTCTTCAACAGGGACTGTAGTGACAGGACAAGGGGTGATGGGTTCAAACCGAAACAGGTGAAGTTCAGGTTGGAGATCAGGCAGAAGTTCTTTACTTTGTGGGTGCTGAGGCACAGGGTGCCCAGAGAAGCTGTGGCTGCCCCATCCCTGGCAGTGCTCAAGGCCAGGTTGGACACAGGGGCTTGGAGCAAGCTGCTCTAGTGGAAGGTGTCCCTGCCTGTGGCAGGGGTTGGAACTGGATGATCTTAAGGTCCCTTCCAACCCAAACTGTTCTGTGATTCTATGACAATGCTACCACCACTCTGTCTCCTCGTGAGGATACTTGCATTTAGAATTGTTAAAGATACTCCTCAGAGCATGGAAGCATGTATCAGCAGCAGGGTGAGATGAAGAGGAATATTTTAGCTTGTGTATTATTCCAAGAGAGTCCATAGCAAATAGATGCATTGCTACCACCTGGCCATTCTGCCTTGTTATCTGACAACTATGTGAATTATGCTGAAGGATTAAGTACCATAATAGCAACACGGCTGCTCTGTTAGAAGGGATAAATAGACAGATTAGCATCATGGTTTCAGTGTTAGACAAGCTAAATAGATAGAACCAGACCGGAGGGAATACAGGGGTTTCTCAGCTTCTCTGTTCTGCAGCAAATCACTGTTGTCTGTATGCTAAGACATGCTCTCCTTGCAAGAGGCACTGCAGTGTGCGCTAGGATTGTACTGCAGCCAAATTCGATCTCTGTGTATTAAAATAAACCCAGTATTAATGCATAATAAACCCAGGATTAATGCATAAGAAACCCAGTATTGATGCACATGCAAAGCTGGGTTCACGTTTCCTACAGGGCTAGTTTACCTGGAAAACTCAAGGGGAGATTTTCCTAAATGCATTTGTCTGCCCTGATGTGTTTTATCATGGGCAATCTGCCTTCTGCATCGTGGAAAGGGCTTCTCAAGCTGTTTCTTGGCCTTGGTTTACTTCATTTAATCAGAGAGGCTCTCAGGCCCCATCCCTGCTTGGGGTTCAGAAGTATGCGGATAAGCTTTCAAGCCAGATGAGAATGCAGCTGCTGGACTTTGTGAGGCCTAAAGGTCTAGAAAACACGATTAAATTTCACAGCAACAAGAAAAAAAATGGAGCAAAAATCAAGAGTGTAAAGCATTCAGGGGGGAAAATCCTCCATCAGGCTTCCAAGCTGTTCAATGTCAGATCAGAAGCTGGGGTTACAAGGGTTTGAGTCCAAACTGCCCCCACATCTTGTGAACCAAAGCAAAGCTCCATTCCCTAGATAGAGCAGAACCTTAGTCCAATGTGCCTTGCACTTCAGACGTGATCCCCATCTCAAAGTGGGTACCTCTGACCTTTAAATTGAATCCCCCTGCAGATGTCACTTATTGGTTTGCCTTTTTCTTACTGGCACTTGTGGGTACATCTAATTCACAAGGCAGCATGTTTTCATTGAAAGCTGCTTATTTAACTGAGTGGTGGCTCATGGTCCACATGCACTGCAGTGGTTCTTGCTGCAAAACCAGACACTGAGTTCACACACAGATTTCTGTGAGGCTCTTCAGATCAGTCTATTATTGCTCTTTCTCCTCATCTACATGGAAACAGTCTGATTAAAAGCTGCTAATGATGGCTGTGTGTAAGCTGGTGCTGGCTAGGAAGGACTTAGTCCTTCACTTCATGCTGTTATGTACATCCATTCATTGTACAGTGAAAACCCAGTTTTCTTTGGAAGAGTTGGTCTAAAATAAGCCCCCTGAAATGTAGACAGTGCTGATGTCAGGTCCTTGGCACCAAATGTGTCGTTTTACAGACCTGTTCCTATTGCACTGCACTACTGGCTGAAGCAGCAGAACCTCTCAGCACCTTCCAAAAGGTTGACAGAAATGGGTCAGCTTACATCCGATCTGCACTGATCAACAAAGTCCATGCAGGTCAGGATCCCTGTGTCCATTTTTGGCACCAGAAGTCACTAGCAAAATCTAGGACAAACTTAAGGGGAGAGAAATGAATGAACATTAAGGGCTGTAGCACTACACAACTCTTTTATATAGTCCAATCCATGGCACAGTGTTTAGGAGTAATAGAAATGGATAAATAACCTTTTGTTTCCCCTGGTCATGCAAACAGGACCTGTCTTTTCCTCCTGCATGTATGTGTAATCCATGTCTTGAATTAAGGGCATGGAACATGGCTTCTCTTTGTTTCCACTTTTGCAGATAGGGGCATAAACCCCTAGTACTGCAGCTGAACACAAGGAGAGAAATAAACCTGCTCTCTGCAGAGAAAGAGGCCTGGTCCCAGGCTGGAAGAGCTTCCACTCCAAAAAAAAAAGAGATCTCAGTGCTGAGAATAGCCTAGAAAAAGCAAAATACCTGAAGGGCAGACATAAGCAAGCAGCTCTGAATGCAGGCAGGGAAAGGGAAACCCAACTCCAAGAATGTGAAAGCCACTCAGTGATTGCTGACACTTTCCCAACATCACAAAGGGTGGGAAAGTTCCTTTTTTATAACCAAGAGCCAGATGCTGGCAAATCCACTCGGGATTAGAAGTTCAGAAGCAGCATGTGGAGTGAGATGGGCTGGTACAGGACACGTTTCTCTGACAGCATCCCCACCATGCCCGTGGTGGTTTGTCAGTTGGCTTGGCTAACACATGATTAAAACACAGCTTGGCAAAGGTTTGTGCTGTCTTACGTTACACCACGTGAGGTTAGTGATGTCCATGCACCAACACACATGTCTGCAGCCACTGGTCAGAACCGGTGTGTTCAACTCCTCCCGTCTTGCTTCTCCCCAGCCAGTGAGGGGGATGTAGTTCCTCTGGTTTTTAAAGGGGATAAAAGGATACCCTGGATCCTTTTACAACAGAGTAGAGACAACAAAAGAGGCCTGTGAATGGGCTGTTCTTGGGGTGTCTTGCTTACTTTGGTCTACAATGGGCTTTGAAGAAAGCTAACTTTCAGAAGAATGGACTATCAACAAAGTCAGTTCTTACCTGTGCTACAGGCTCCTTCTAGGACTTGGGGATTGCTTTTCTCATTTGAAATCAGTGGAAACATTGCTGCATTCAACACATTTGGGTCCTTAAAAAAGCCATGCATCAGATCACCACCTCTAAATTGAGGATAAAACCTGTATTTTCTTAACATCTCAGTTTATTTCAACAACCAGCCACCTGAGATAGAGGCTCTTTCTAACTGCCAACAGTAGGCACCATACCTGGCACAGCAAGAGCTCCTTCTTAGCTGAAGCATCAGAGCAAAACAAATAAGGAATGATAATAATAGTAAACACACATGCACCAAATGAGATTCCCAACTACATGCTTAAAAGTAGTGCTTCCTACCAGAGCCTGCCTGAAGAATCCAGCCACAAATACACTGAAACCTTCCACAAAGCAGTTGATAGGATTTCTCTTCCCATGCAGAGAAGGGACATTTCATGGCCCAAACAGGTTGATTCTGCCCCTTATTTCTAACCCACAGAAAAAAAATAGATGATCCATTGCAGCAAATGACGTTAGCAATTCTTTCCCTTTCCCTGCCTTAAAGGTGGCTCAGGCCTTTATGCTTATAAATCATTTTATTGGTAGTTAAAATAGAGAGGCTGGAGCATGGAGCTGAAATGCGAGGTGCACTTCAAAGGGAACCTGCTTTCATTTCCCAACAGTTAAGGTTTTATCAGCCACTAAAGATTCCCCCTGCCAGAGGATCCTGTTACACCATGTTAAGCCTGGAGTGAAGGCTACGGCTGCTAAACCCACACTGGTGGGAAGAAGAAGAGGAAGAGGAGGAAGATCTGAAGCTGCTGGTCTGTCTGTGGAGACATTCTAGAGGCTGCTGGGGCTGGATTGCACAAGTGGAGTTCTATGCTGGGACAAATGTGGGGAAAAGGGTTGTGTAAAGAACCCAAGAGCATTAAAAACAACATGTCAGAAACCTGTTTCCTCCCCAAAAGACAAGTTCTTGGTGATCATTTGTGCACTGCAAAGAGCTCCTGCACTGTGTGAAGATGTTGCTTTCCAAGGGCATGGAAGTATAATGCAGGCCACTGAAGACAACACTTAGTACCTGCTAGAGACATCTGGGGCTTTTGTCCCTGTGAATCGTCTTCCAAAGGATGTCCTCATTAGACAGGAAATGCTACAGAAACTGCATCAGGGGAAGCAGAGAGATATAGGAATGTCCTCATGGAAAATAACTTTAAAGATGTCCAAGCAAGTTCTTCATGTCATGCCCAAGGTGCAGGTAAGATCAGAGTCCCTCACTGTACCATAAGCACCTTGTGCAGTAAGTGAATACGCTGCTCCTGAATGCTAGATGCTCACTGCGGAGTATCACTCAATCTATTACCTTCACAGATGGAAGAGGAAGGCACAACAGGACTAAGAAACCTCTCCAATCCATCACTGTCTGCCTTGCAGAACCAGCTGATCTCACAAGAGCCCATCATCCCAGCCAGATTGGGTTTGGGGCAAAGGTTAGAACTGGTTCTTATTTAACCTGAACGCCTGCACCCAACCCTGCCAGGCCCGAGATGCCCCAACCACTTGTTGTCAACCAGCGGAGAAGGGCTGCAAAGGCAGCTGCCTGCCAGGATGAGGCTGGACTGAATTATCCCTGCAGCCGCCCAGATATGGGTCAGCTCCCACAATTTGTCAGACAAGGAGAGGAAAGGAAGGTCAAAAGAGGCTCCTGTGGGAAAGAAAG